ATATCTATACAAAAGGAAAAATAAATAAAACCCAAATAGAATAGGATATATTCTACTCGCCAACATAGACCTCATGATGAATTCAGGTACTTCTGCTTATAAATGCACCAAGTCCAAGTGCAACTTTTACCTCCACGACTTGTGCTTTGAACTTCCCCAAGAAATCAAACACAAGTCTCACCCCAAACACCCTCTTACTCTCTCCACCCCTCCCTATGAATATGGTGAGTTCACGTGCGATGCATGTGGTGAATTTGACACTTGTTTCACCTTCCACTGCACCCATTGCAAATATGATCTCCATGTTCAGTGTGCTACTTTGCCTGAAACCCTGAGCCATCACCATCATCACCACCTGCTCACTCTGCTGTATTCTTTGCCAGATCATCATGAGAATGAAGGCAAGCTTAATATCTGTGATTTTTGTCAAGGCACTTTCCCTCGGGGCTGCTGGCTCTACTCTTGCAGAGATTGTGACTATAGTGTTAGTAAAGACAAAGACAAAACATAGACATCCCTAAATGGCTTGTCTACCACCTTGTTACTTTTCCTTGTTTTCATTTTCCTTGTTTTAGGGATGGAAACTCTCCATGTTTCCCTCCATGTCTTGTGCATTGTTTGTAACTAATAATCACCTTGTATACTTGTATATCTAACCCTTCACCAAGTAAGTAATTCAATTTGGCAGATTTGAATTCTCTGCAAAACCTATCTTGTTCTTCTTGTTCTACATTACCACCTCCTTGCCGCCGTGAACAAATCATTGTGGTATTAGGCAGATGAAGGCTTAAAAACAGGCTTTTAAGACAGATAGATGGAAATATGAACTTACACTAACAGGAGAGATTCTTCTGAAAATTATATTTGAATACATATTCCTAATCTTCCAAAGGCAACGAATGAAGGAAAAACCCAAAAAGGACAGGCTGCACTATTTTTTAATTTGAATGATATGTGAAATACCACTATTATCCTTGCATTATGATTTTTTGGGATTAAAAAATTGTATGGCATTGTTGTAAGTTTTGCAAGGCTTGGATTATATATTCGATCCCTGTGAAAGGTCGAATAGGTTCGTTTTTTTCTTAGAGTTTGAGTATTGTAGGGTTTGTATATATTTTGGGCCCTATTAATGGCTCACATGTGAAAAGCCCCGAAAAAATTTGATATGTACCTTTAAATGTCTAGAGCAAGAATTCTATAGTGAGAGCCATGTATGTGGCTAGCGTAAATAATAGTTTAGTGTTATATAAGTAATGGTTATGAATTATTTTTTTTGGTTTCCCAGGGTATCCTCCGCGCAACTGCGGAGACTAAATCCCTCGAGGTACGGTCAGGCGCAAAGTGGGGACTTCTCCCAACAGAATCTGCTCTATTCGCAAGTGCCTGGGATCGAACCCAGGATCTCTTGTTTAAAGGATCCAAGCCCCTTCCACTTGGGCCAACTCATGTTGGTTAATGGTTATGAATTTAGTTTAGGCTTATTTACTGTAGTGCCCCCTGAAACTTGGGTCAAATCTCACTTTACCCCCCCCAAAGTTAAAATGGCCCACTTTCATCTCTTGACCGAGGTTTGGTGATCCACTTTGCCCCTGCCATCAACTCCATTCAAACTCTGTTAAATCTAATGACATGGCAGGGGTATTTTTGTAATTTTGTATATAAATAAAAATATAATTAAATAATTTTAATAATTAAAAATTAAAATAAATTTAAAAAATACCACTGCCACATCATCAAAGTTAACAGAGTTTTGGATGGAGTTGACAGCAAGGGGCAAAGTGGGTCACCAAACCTCGGTCAAGGGATGAAAGTGGGCCATTTTAAGTTTTGAGGGGTAAAGTGAGATTTGACCAAAGTTTCAGGGGGCATTAGTGTAGTTAAGCCTTTAGTTTATAACATACCATGATGTTTTTTTTTATCTTTATGCGGCCTCCAAAACCTGTCTTTCATGCTCACCAAACGTTCAATTATCAGTCTGCAGGAGAACAGGTGGTTTTGTTTAAGATAATTTCGTCATATAAAGTCTGTTCCTTCACATAATCAAACAACTTTTTTTTTGGGTCAACAATATTCAAACAACTTATTTTCTTACTACGAACAACATTTTCAAAATATTCAGTTCGAACTTTCCAGTTATGAGCACCAAATTTGCGGTTTTCTTTTTTCTTTTTGTGGTCAAAACATTGTTTCAAAGCAGGTGTCTCGACCTCTTAAGATCAGCTGAAGATATATATCATGCATCAAACAGGCAATGAAATTGTTAAGTTTCAAACCTTTTATCATAAATATACATGTACAAGTATTCTAAAGTTTGACAAAAAGCATAAAGAAAGACATCTATGAATTCTTTTGATGAATAATTTGAGCAAGCACTGGAGCTATTTACATTGAGATAAATGAGACCATCCTTTCTATAATTTGGATAAAAACTACTCCTTGTTGCTGGAGGAGTGGTGGCCCTTCCTTTGTCCTCCTCCTCCAAGAATACGTGAGATCTGTAAACCTCTACTGAATGCTTGGTTGAACAGCATTCGTGTTTGGAATTCAGAAACGAAAGGGAACCAAGCCAAGAATGCAACTGGGGTGAAAAGAAGCAACCCCATGATTATTTCATAACCACGAGCAAGTGTTTGAACTGACCCCCAAAATCCTGCTTGTTGAATTAGTGGCTTACAAGCTTGTGCAATCTATAGGAATATTTATGAAGAAAAAAAAAACCAGAGAAACAATTAGAACAAATCAACGAGTTAATAGACAATTGAAAACTAGGTTAAAAATATTAAACACTAAATAGTTAGAACAGGAAGTCAGCGGAAAAAAAAAAGGATTAATATGATTTACTGACCAAAAGCAATCCCCATCCAGTTGGCATGAAGGCAAGAATGCAGACTACGACATCCCGAAGTGTCATATGAGGGAGCACTATTAAGGTAATGAAAATAGATAACAATGTAATAAATATAAATCCCTTAACCAGTCGAAACAAAAGTTGATAGTCTGCACTTAATCGTCGCCTCCCAGCAGACACGGCCTGAAAAATTTCAGCACAATTGTCAAAATAAATCTAATAAGCAATAATTTATTTTTTACTGTCGTAAATTAGTTTGCAATAACAAAAGAGCTGGTAAAAGCCAAGTGAAACATTTTCTGACATGAAAAATATGCAGAAATTAACATAACCACATACACAACCTTATTGACTCCTAAAATGCCCATATGAGAATTTGGCTTCTATGTAAGTACGTTGAGAACAAGACTCTCTGAAAAAATGGTTAAATGGTTTGTCAGATTTTGACATGCAGCAAAAACTTAAGTACAGTCCATTGGTTGGTAGAGGAAATCATTTTTCAGAGCCTAGATGGTGACAGTTTAAGAACTGTTTCGGTTTTAATGCTGTATTTGAGAGAACAAGAAAAGAGAAAGTCAGATTTTTGGTTAATTCAGTTCTTAAAAGACAGATTTTGATGTTTATAACCTAACAAATACAAAATGCCTCTGCTTCATCAAAAGGCACGAAAGAAGAAAGCTTCTACGTGGTAATTTTTGCCACCAAAATAACTCATGAATGGCATCTCAGGAAGTTTCAAAAAATACAAATCTTGAAACAAGAAAGTATGGCTATGTTTGGGAATACACATATTAGGAGTCCTGAAATTTTAACTACCCACCTTCATCAGCACCAAAATTAGAAGGATCACCAGCCACGAAACACCATAGACCTGCAAGCGCATTGAAAGGAAAATTAATATTTCCACCTGCTTTATAAAAATAATAGATATTAGAATGCATTAATAACGGTCGAAAGACACATAAAACGCATATACCAGAAAACTTTTGTTGTTTGTAATGTTGAGGTGATAGACAAGCCCATACTGGTAGATGAAAAAGCGTAATGCTAATATTATCTCAGTAATGATACCACGTATTCCAGAGTAACGAAGATGCTCATGTTCCTTTTCCCACCAGGATTCCCAACTTTTATCAGGAGAGACACCGATGCCTCCATGATTGTTTATCCACTTCTTCCAATCCGTCCAGTCATCAACAATCTTTTGCCACTCAAACCCTGATGGATTGAAGAGGAATGGAGCAAAAAGCCATGTTCCAACCATGAACCAAATTTGTATCGTAATGAGGATATATACAACTGCACTTCTATATGTACGACCAAATATGTGGTACACAACAAGCAGAATCAGTAGCTCGATGCCCTTGACAAAGTGGCTTCTGGAGTAGAGCCTGTAATTATCAGCGAATTTGGCATGAAACACTACAAAGCTACGACCCGTTGCTCGGTATTCTGCACCTCCATGAAGTAAAGTCTTTCCATAATAGTGCGTCTTTGTACCAAGAGAAAATGTGAAAAATACAGGGGCCAATTGTAATTGCATTAATATGAAATCGCTTAGTGCAATACGGAACCCCTTTTCTAAACCAATTTCCATAACCATAGGCAAGGCCATCAAAAATCCAATTTGCACAACAGACTGAGAAGCAAGAGCTATTTGAAGAGGCTTATTGTCTCGAATAGCTCGATGAGTACTCAGACCATCTTCAAGCCCACTGAGAACAAGATAAAGGCGACCGTAGAGAAACACATAGACCGTAAGCACAGTCAACTGTCAAACCAGAACCAAAACATTTGAGATAATGGTAAAGGATTATAAAATAAATGAAGAGAAAGAGGTATATTTTATACATACTAAAGTGCTGAAATAGAAACCAATTGTTGTAAAGTAGCAGGATAGCATCCGGAAGAAATCAAATCGATGCCCAAGCCTATAGATGTCACGACTCAGTGTCTGTTCGCCATTCCCATTCGCTATTTTTGCCTCAAAAATCGAGATCTGGTTCAGGCCAACATCTCGTCCTTTACCAACTTGTATATATTCATGATGAGTAACACTGCCTTCACGTACTGTAGAATTGAAACCTGCATACAAGAAACATGTGAAATTGGTACACTACCAATCCAAAACAAAACAAGTCTTAAACAAAGCGATGAGAGTGCCTGCAAATATGTCCTCGCTTAAATTGATGACTTTGGAAGCTTTGCTGACACCCCCTCTAGTCAGATGAAACAGTCTATCAAATACATCTGGATGACCATAGTGGAATCTAACTCTGAATGAGGAAAAAAAAAGGATTCAGCAGCTTGAACTAGATAAGAAACATACGGTAACTGAAAATGTGTAAAGTGTGTTTCTTGAAACACTACAAGAAAAACACAACCAAAAAAAATGTCTAGTATCATACACTTGTGTTACAAATACGCCCTAGAGTTTTCAAAATTGTTCCTAGCTTCCCCTGACCCGTTTAAAAGAGGGCCGTGAGCAATAATTGATCACATGTAATAGGCCTTTCTTTGTGGTCTGCTTTGATTCTTAGCATTACTTTCTTTAAACATAACTTTCTCCATGTTTGCTTTATATTTGAATAACTTGGTGATTCAAAACAGGTAACTAATGTTAAAATTCCACATACAGGATTCATAGTCTAAAACAGTCT